AACGATTGAATGTATCAGGACAGTGTAAATCTGTGATATCTGTATATCACATAGAACAGGAGTTGTTGGTAAAACTATAAGGTATTTGGGAAAAGGCCGATGAGAAAACATGCATATGCAATTTATTAGGATCAGCACCTCATTTTGTTTGGCGTGTGCCGTATCCGTGTACTTGATAATTTGTTAATAAAACTAACGTTATATATATTTTTAATTTTCTATAACAAGAATCTTCTGTAGATATTTAAAAGAATATGAAAACAATAAAATCTATTCATATTGGCATTAACATATGTTAAATTTACGTGTACGAATGTTTTGTTGATACTTTCAATTATAAAAAATAAAAAATAAAATCCGCCCACCCGCCCCAATTTTTTAGCAAATTAGGATGAGAATCTAGATTTTAAATTTATATGGCCTTTTCCCTATACATATCATCATTATGCATATGATTAAGGGTTGTGCTATGACTTTGTAAGATGTATATGTACTCTAGTTACAGACAATCTATTTAAATTGTTCTGATGATTATTCATAATTTCTAATTTTATCTGCCAAATAAAGGACTCTTTTAAGGAGCCTTACAATAGTCAGAACTCTCTCTCTCTTTTAAATTTCCATCGATGATGATGTCCTTCGTGAATAATCTGATAAGTTGAGATTGCGGACACTTTTTGTTTAAATATTGATGACCTAATCGTAATTTAGTAGCAGAAATAATTCATTTTTACCTTGTCGTTACATCATAAAAAGTTCCAGAAGTCCAAAAGTACAACAAGTTGACGATCCGAGAAGTGAGAACACATGTATTCAAACAGGATATATGTTTGTCTGTATTAACAAAGAAACCATATTCGGTACAAACATTATTATCCGATTTAACAACGGAAAAAAATTTCAAACACTTTTTATTTATTTATAGAGAGAAAGAACTATTATAGAAAGAACTATTATAGAAAGCATTCATTTTCATAAAAAAAAAAAAAATCTACAAAGACGAAGCGTTATCATACAACATACAGCACGGAAAAAAGACAAATGTGGTGCCATAGGGCCTAGAGCTATATACAAAGTCTAACATTACTATCTGTACATCTATGATCGAACGTAAAACACTAAATATTGTATAATTCAAGTTTCTTTTTCCGTTTTTGCAATGTGTAAACTAAAATATTTAAAACTTTGATATCGATCAAACTTTTCAAAATGGCGTCAAAACGAATGTGGTCTTCGATGGGAAAGATTTGTTCTGCCCATTATTAGTATTATTTACCGTAAAAAAGTATATAAAAATATACGTACACTAATCTTTGGTGGTTGATCATTGCATTTTTCACAGTTTTAAAGACACTGGGTGGCGAAAACATCGTTAACTTTTCACATTTGCACCTTACAGCCGAGTTCTTCTCTGCCTTGCTCAACTCCAAAAATGGCGCCTCGTGAAAATTGACCAAAGCCTCTGCAGAGCGATGCATTATGGGAAACGGAACCTGTTTACGTTAATTATGTTAGAGGATAATAAAAGTTTTTATATATAATATAATTTCCCTGTAACGGTGATTATGAGTTCATATCCTTAGTGAAGTTCTTCTCTATTCATAGAAAGGGGGTGCTCCTCAATAAATTTGCTGATAATTAGTTAATTTACTATAGAAAACAAAGCGTTTTTCTGATGGTGACCAGAGGCATTTTATGTTTCTGGTGTGCCCCTCAAATTATTTGACTTGGGGGGGGGGGGAGGGGGGCTTGGTACGTAGTGCCTATCCAAACAGAAAATATCCGGTTATCCCCCCCCCCCCCACTACTTTCTCATTAAATTATTCATTATTCTGATTAATGTATAATGTCACAACGAAAGATGTTAAACTTTTATAAATACATGTATACATGTTTTAAAATCTGAAGCTTCAGAAAATTAATATTAGTTGAGGACCGTAGAAAATGGGGGGGGGGGGGCATAGTGGACATGCCATACGTCCCTAAACATATTTTTTGCAGTGTAGAAAACAAAGCTTATTTCCTGTTGCGCCCCTCAAAATAAACGTATGATGACTCTTTATCAGCTGTTTATTATTTTGTGACAAGAATGTTGTCCTTTGAAGTCTGTCGTAAATTTCGATGGGCATTTGGATGCAAATGAACTACATGAAATGTATACAGAACAGTATTTTATTTTTAGTGATGATGGAAAAGTTCGGTGTCAAAAATTGCTAGTTAGTAGAAGGAATCAGGGTATGTTAGACTAGTATACACTTGTGAAAATCAAGACAAAATGATTTAATTACCATGCAGCAAGGACGGTTCAAGAATAATGATAAAGATTTGATTTTTTTTTTCCCTTGTTCGGCTTTAGATACTTTATTGAACCCCCTCCTTTTCTGGTTTCGATTTTTAGCCTGATATCAATAATAATCAGTGGACGAAATTGCTGGACTTTTTTTCTATTTGCTATATTTTACTTCAAACATCTTTTCCTTTAGTTAAAAATAATTCTCACACCGTTATAATGTATCAGAATTTTTCACATTAAATTTGAAAATTGATTTATAAAAATAGGAGAGTAAACGTAACACAAGGTGAAAAAAAACGAACCAATATCTAAGCAAAGGTAGGGAAAACAGTATTTTAATTTGGAAAACACCGGCCCGTAGAATGCAAGGGGGAGGGGGGGGGGGGCACGGGGTGAAGTAAATGGTTATGCTCTTCTTATTTATTTATTTATTTTTTTTTTTTTTGGCTTGTCAGATTTTTTTGGAAGCCTCCCCCCCCCCACCTTTGAAACTGTTGCTACTGACCTGAAACACATAATTAAATAAGCCCAGAATTATTGTAGGTAACCCACAATTATGTCCACTGCGTTCAAAATTTTAGTTGTGACTGGTAACAATTTGTCAATATTTGATCATCTGATTTATTGGAAAATAATTCCCGGTATACTCGTTGATGCACAGGGCTGTTATACATGGCTTTAGCCGTTCAGCCAGTACCGCCCTGTATCTTCATATACAACTTTTTTCTGGTAATTTCTGGTAAGGTTTGTTAGTTAAGAACTTTCTGGTAAAGTTTGTGCCCCAAACTGAAATTACTTTAACATAGGCCTGTGGTTTGAGTAGACAGTTTTAAGTGCAGTTTTTTTTTTTTTTTAAATAAGTAATAGTACATGTAGGGGTATAAAAATCAAGAAATGGACGGCATATATAAAGAAATGTTTGTACATGTAGTAGTATTGAGAATCACCACATCAGTACATTATACCTAAATATCGAAAGAAACTATTTTCTCTCCATTTTTTGAAGGAGGGGAGGGGGCTTAAATTTGAAAGGGGTAACCTTCTGTTTAACACAATACACGATTTAAAAGTATTAAGTTTTCGCTAAGCATCTACTTGTAAAACAATTAATAAATTATTGGGTTTTTTTCCTTCAATGAATTGCCTTAGCATGCAGTTCTTCAGAAGACGTTGTTCTTAAGCAAAAGAAAATCATGTTTTATAAATATCATATACTTTTCTTTATTTAGAGCCAGCATTGGTCTTTGTGTACAAAATGGCTAAATTAAATATACGTGCATGTATGCATTTAAGACCAACGTTATTATAATTTCCTGCGAAAAATGAAGACATTTACTACATCAGGGTCTGTGTACAGATATAAATAAAAAAATAAGTTATTTACTTAACACTCATTAATTTTGTATATGAATATTATTCTGCTGTATTATCTTATCAATGTCTTTGTAGAGGACTATATAAGAATTTCACACAAAACATTAGTAATTTAGTTGTTATGTTGTATAATACAAGTAGATCCATCTGCATCCTTTCTCATAAACAATTTGCGAATTAAGCAATCAACAAAGTTGATAATTGATAATTCTTTCTATGTTTTCAATATTTGAAGTTTACATTGATGTCAAACAAGGACGATTCGTTAATTACCAGAAATTTTATTTCATTTATCTATGCACTTACAAATTTATTTGAAAAAGAATTATGATTTAACACATAACGAGAATTTAGATTTATTCTAGACCGATTGAAAAGTATATATAATTTTTAAACGGTTAGGAAATTTTGTTTTTTAATCAGTAATGAAAAAATTGAAATACAATTCTTTTTTTTCTTCTCTCATTGAACATCTTAAAATTGTTGTAGCTTATTTTATCATTATTTTGCGATCTTATTGATAATTTAATTATTTTTTTTTAATTAAATCAATGGCCAGCAATTATCACCTAAATTTAAACTGAGTTTGCGGAGATTATGTGTATGTACATGCTTGACCACAGCCCATTGTTCCCCTTAGGTAGAAAACCTTCTCAAATCACATAGAATACTAGTATACAAAAAGTACACAGTCGCAGGTGTCTTCGCGACACGTGTCTCCACCTGTGGCACGTGAGAACAGGTGCCCGCGATTACAAGGGTTAGCGCAATGACTGAATTTTATCTGAACAGTTTACACTGATTTTTCTAAAATTAAAAGTTGTATTAAATCTTCTCTACTAATTCCAATTCACGTGTCTTTATGAGTTTTACCGAGACTAAAATGTTAAAAAATTATTTAATTTGGGTTTACGGTGGTCACAGAATGTTCAATTTTATTACACAGAATTACACAAACAGTTTTTTTTATTATTCTTTTGATACACGTTTCCAAAATGTCTGTTATCGGGAAAATAGGTGTAAACCACAGCATACGTGTTTTCCATATCTGGGAAACATGCGGGAAACTACAGGTTGATTGCTTCCATATCGGGAATCTACGTGGAAACCACTACTGCATGTTTCCTCGGTTTCCCATATTGGGAAACTTACGGGAAACCACAGGTTGATTGTTTCCATATCGGGAATCTACGTGGAAACCACTATGTGGTTTCTATAAAATGGAAACTATATGGAAACTACTGATGTCACGATTCCCGTATGTTTCCATCGGGTTTCCAAATTTGGGAAACCTGGCTTTTCGCCCTGTGTTTTATATTATTTTAACGTCTTCCATAGCAACTAAGCCATTTCATAGTCGCACACGTTACACACATACACTCTCTTACAAGAATTAAGATGTACAGTAAAAAGTATGCATGTTATAAAAATCTTTATGGTAGAGGAAGAGAGAAGTTATATATGACCCCGTCTGTATATACAATGGTCGTATTATTTTTTAAGCTGTCCATTTCAGTAGACGTCTTCAAGAATTTTTCTGCCCATTCCGGAAACTCGTCCAGTTTAAAGAATGTAATGCCATAGGTATTTATGGCTATCGTTACAACGCCGACACACAACAAATTTAATATGAATCCAACTTTAACCTGAAAAGAAGAACTTTTTATATAATTTTATGATTTTAATTACATATTAGATCAATAATCTAGGCTACAAAATGCATTACAATCAATGTGAACGTGGATATTTTCCCACTTGTTAGTGCAAATAATAATCGTACCATATCAATCACTTTTAGATAACCATAAGAAAAGGCAATGGTGTTTGGAGGTGTGGCAACTGGCAACATATAGGCGAATGATGTTGATATAGTAGCCGGTAACATAATGTATATGGGGTTTAAATGCATTCCTATGGCCTACAATACAAAATTGAAAAATAATGACCATTCCCCACGAAAAACTAAAGACCTGGGCCCCGTTTTACTAAAGATCTTACGAATACGACAAAAATTTAATTTTGTAAATAACTCTGTTTTTTAAATTAATTTGGAAATCTTTTTGATCTTTTTTAAAGAGAATTTTGGAAGATATATGTATGAATAAAATTTATAACAGAATTATCTATTTTGAAAGATTTTACAAGCAACTAAAGTATTTGGTCTTGGTCATAAGTTCTTTTGTAAAACGGGTCCCCGACTTCTTGACATCAAAGAAAACTGCTTCTTCAATACAAATGAACTCGTCAATTTGCATACCTTGTCATTGTTTATCTGCAAACTTATTTTGTTAAAAAAACTTTCTGATTCTACGCACAAGTACTATGAAGTTGATATTTAAAAGATGCTTGAGTTTCTCATTGACAGTATCTATATAGTTTTTGGAGACTACATGTAGGTCTTCTAACAATCCCATGGGTACTTATTGTGCCTCGTTATTAGCAGACCTGTTTTTGTACTCACATTAAGCAGAATTTAATCAAAAACTTCTATAGGAAAAGAAGAAGGTTCTTGCTGTAGCTAATAGCCTTCAATTCGGCATTTAGATATATCGATGACGTTTTATCAATTAACAATATTCAGTGTCATTCCTAGGTTGATTCGATGTGTTCAATAAAAGACACCACAGAGTTTGACACATCTGTCTCATATCTGAATGTTTTACTAGAGAAAGACATTGATGGCAAACTGATTACTAAACTAAATGATAAGTGTGATGACTTTAACTTTTGATTTCTATCGTCAACGTCACTTATTTAAGTAGCAATATCCCATTATTACCTACATATGGAGTTCATGTCTCCCAGTTGATTCGATACGCCAAAGCATGTTCTACGTATGAAAAAAAAAATAAACGAGACAGGCTATTGACAAATAAGTTGATGATACAATGATATCAACTATCTCCTGTAAAGTCAACATTTCAGATATTTTATGATCGATACAATGACTTGTTTGCAAATAAGATTGTCGTTAAATCGAATGGTGACTGACGTCTTTCAAACAAATTGTTAGGCCATCATTTTCAAAATGAATTGTCTACGGATTTTTCAGTTTTCCTGACCATGAAAAAGAACACACGGCGGGGGTGACCGGTCTATGGGGAAGCTTGATGTTCCTTGGCACCTAATGCCACCCCCTCTGCTCAGAGGCGCGTGTGATTGTGCTCATAATTTGTATTGTTTAAATGGACTTATGAAAATGATCGCTCTTCGTTATCTTCACTCTTCATTTACCAACTAAACGATTATATATTTTAAAATCCCTCTTATATATGTATAAAATGTGGGACTTTTATTAGAAGTCCGTTTGAAATTAGACAATATCGTTTATGTATGGGTCTGTAATACACAATACTTATATACACGCCACTTTTGAAGGGGGTGGTTTGATAGCAGATCATCCATATGGCAAGTAGGAGAACAATATACATGTATATAAAATTTCAATTTTAGTTGTTCCGATAAAGCGCGACAAATTTGCATAACTTTTTTTTCGGACAATACAATTGATACTAGATTATATTTGAACCCGCTTTGTTTAGTTTTAGTAATATATAGTCATTAAAAGCTACATTTTACTAAAGTTGCATTCACTACAACAGTAATACCTTCTTTAAAAAAAATTGTTTTAAATATAAAATCAGAATAAAAACGTAATTATTTCTTCTGTTTAAAATTTGAAAAATTGTAAGTAATAATATTCTTTAAAACATACGAGTTCTGCAAGGATAGGGACTAGAAGCGTGCAGATGGCTGTGTTACTGGTGACCTCTGTAGCAAATGAAGCTATCAAACAGATGACAAAAATCATTGACCACGAATCAATGTCTCTAAACGCAGACAACTGACTGGCCAGCCACACAGATAATCCAGATTCCTATAAAAAGAATTAATGTTTTTTTTTTCGAAAAAATACTTATAATCTTACGGAAGCCGGTTGGTGCCAGGTAGAAAAAATATTTTATCTGGCGGCCGCCATATAAAAAGATCTGGCGGCCGCCAGAAAGTTATCTGGCGGCCGCTAGATAATTATTTGGCGGCCGCCAGATAAGTTATCTGGCGGCCGCCAGATAAAATATTTTTCTGCCTGGCACCTACCGGCTTCCGTATAATCTGAATTAAAAACAATAAATATAAAAAAGTATTTAATTCCCTGCAGGTATTGTAATGGTTTCAGACATTTCACCTAGTTCGTTACTCTCGAAAGTAAGTCTCTCTTTTAACAGAAGATAGTTTACACAACTTTTTTCTAAACATTATCGATTGCACCCTATGATAATGTCAATGTTTATCACGATGTTGGAAAAACAGAGCCAGAGAATTTTTCTTACCGTGCATGCTTTGGCTAGAGCAAATCCGCCACCCAATAGGAGTGCAACGTTCCAGGGCATGCGCGCTGAGACAGTTTTCCAGTCTAGCAATGGCGGAATTTCCTTGACGTTATCCATGGGGTCATCTGCAAATTATTTGAATCTGTTGTGTTGAATTAATTGCATACAATGTACATGTATATTATTCAGTTTATAAAGGTGATCAACAATATTCAAGGTTCTTTTTAATTTCAAATCATTCCACAAAAATGTTCTTTCAAGGAATTACATCATAATCAACGAGACATAAAAAATTAGAGTTTGAGGAGAAAAAAACATGTAAATTAGGAAAATGAAAAAAATAATGCAGCTGTTATCGAGGAAAGTTAAAAAAATAAAATTTCTTTGCAAAATGGTAAAGGGAAAAAACAAACCTTTGACCATACGTCTGCTGGGAAATATGAACAAGCTGACCATAACTATAATAGCTGGTACAGAATCTCCAAGGTAACTGCAAAACATTCAACGTTATACGACCCGAATACAATGGTATCGTCTTCAAAGGTTTTAAAGGACCGAGGGAAGATAAACTTCCTAATATGTTATTACGAAAACTATTTTTATTAACTGTACCTAAACAATACTAGCCATTGGTAAGCTTACCCATCTTTGAAAAAAGAACCCCATCCCGGAGCGAATTCTGGGTTACGAGAAAACCATAAAACTATAAGTATACCAAAATGGACGAGTACTGCTTTCTCTGCAAATCTGTGGAAAAATACATTTAGAGTAAAATGTTTGTGACGTTCTCCTTTTTTTAGGCATATTTTATTTTCTCTACTGGCTAGAGTGTGTTTTTGTTTTACAGAGAAACGATAATAAGTTGGGGGAAAATGTCTGAAAAAATTAATAAGTACTAATTTTTCTATTTTTATTATCATTACCAATTAATTAAAAAGTAAAAACCGTATGTTTTCATGCATAGAGCGACCTCTTGTGTAAAATAAAGATGCTAATTTTTAATAATGTTATATGAATTATAATTTTTTTTTAATGAAATCTTGTTTATGGTAATATAGCTATAATTATTGCACAACCTATTCTCTCCCCCCCCCCCCTTCTTGCCTTGTAATGTGTCATGATTTTGTCATGAAGCTAACGTTAATGTCACTGAAACTGTTTATTTGTTTAATTTTTTCAGATTCACATATTAATAGTAATCTGATCTGTTTATAACTTACAATGACTTTAATGTGTAAGCCTGACTTTAAAGAAATTTCATAGAACATCATCTTGTCAGCAACCGTTGAGTATAATATAAAACCAGGTTATATTAGAGCGTCAAACGTGAGAAACATATCTTACGTTATTTGTCCTAGCTTGTTGTATTCTTTTTTAATGACTTCCTGTACATTATTCGAGACCTCTTTCTGGCTTGTACATAAAAGTGATCTGAAAGAATAAAGTAATTTTTACTCCACAAAAAAGGCTATAATGCAGATAAACAGTTTTACTTTAATAACAATTGTATTAAATTGTACATCTTGCTGAAAATAGTTTACATGCGCTACAGGAGTACAATTTCTCACTTCACTCCAAAGAAGGCTGTTTGAAGCACCAGCCAGGCTATGATGCAGTTGACTAGAGCAATAGGGAACCCAAAAATGAACCAGGAGGTAAAATTTATAACAGACTCTCCATCTGCCATCCTAAAAAAATACACAAGAAATACTTAGTAGAAAACATTTCAGTTTTATTAAAGATTGCATTGTATGCTATATCTGTGACAGGAAAATGAAGTGTAAAATGATTGCTTGAACATTTTTTTTAATACAGAAACTTTAGAAACTCATATTTGATACAAAAATTTCTTCTAATTAGAGATGTATTTTGATTTTGTTGTAGTTCAGCTAGGACGAATTCAACTGTGAAAAGAAGGTTCGAAAGGAATACGCTGGCAATATTTTTTTAAACCAGATTTACATCAAATTAATTTAAAGCATGTTTATTCAGAAAGATTTCTTGAGAAGTATTGTAGGATATTATTATACCTCATTATTATTATTCTATACAACGCGTAATCTGATTGGTTCTAGATTATCACGTGAAAGGGCCATAAAACTTCATATTTCCCTGTTTTCTTCATCATATTCAACCTCTTCGGAGACCTAATGCATTTTCCCGCAGTAGTTATCGTAACGAAAACAACCGAGAGTAGTATACATGTACGTCACAATAGCCTGCTTTACGTCACAAAATTGCTGATGGACTTCTGTGTTTCAGTAACACTATGTTAAAATTGAAAGTGAATTTAAGTGCCGAATTTGAAAGTTAATGTTTATTTTTAAAGTTTTTACTTGTTTCGGTATAATAAACAATTTATTGCATGAATGTTCGGGAAACATGAAGATTTATTCAGCCAAGAAATATCATATTCCCCTCGGGCGAAGCCCTCGGGGAATATGATTTTTCTTGGCTAAATAAATATACATTATTATAACAGTAACTTGATCCAAAGAGTCGTATCACGTCGAGTTGACAGGCGCGGATCATCAGATCAAATGAGACGCGAAGCGTCGAGTTTGATCTGATGATCCGCGCCTGTCAACGAGACGTTATACGGCTATTCGGATCAAGTTACTGTTATAATGATAAATTTATTATATACCCTCCCTTAAAACTAGCAAAATATAGTTTTAAAAAAACTTTTGAGATCAATTATATAAGATTTTTCCATTAAACAAAGCATTTTTCAAGGAACTTTTTGATGCGCATGAAAAATAACGTCATGTTTCTGTGTAGTACGTCATCAGTTTCAGAGAGGGGTGATATGGATTCAGAAAACCACAGTGTGGTGATCCGGAAAGTCGGATCACACCGTCACGTGATTGTACGAAATCTACAGTAAAATTGAGTGATACAGACTTGGGTATATAATAAATCTTCATATTTCCCTCATGATCATGCAATAATTGTATGATATTAATTCTTGATGCAAAATGTAATCAGGAAATCCTTACATGTCTGCCTGACCCTTCATGACCAGATTTGGTCCTGTTCCCGTTAGAGTTCCGATTCCTCCACAGTTTGCCGCGTAACAGATACACAGACAAAACACCTTACAAAATTTCTTAGACGCGGGATCCAGAGTGTCAAAATTGAAATTTTCATAGTCTTCTTCCTTCTCAAGTTTCCTTTTAACTTCTACAACCTCTAGTTTATCACTATAAAATATGAAATATGACTAGGAAAAATGTTCTGAAAACGATACTGCCTCTCACAAATATTTGATATTATGTTTAAAACATTTTTTTTAAGTAAATAAAGTTTCTTATTACATAAACTAGGAAATTTAAAAAAAGAAAAACTACAATCTTCAAACTTTGCACATTGTTAATGATTTTCCAAATAAATTAATCGAAGTTCAAGTTCTTTGTACCAGCTAGATTTGTTCCAAAAAAAATCTAGGATTATACATTTTAACAAATGTCAAAGTTTTATTTTGTTTGTTCTTTTACTACATTCAGAATCTATAGTTAAATGTTTAATTTCTAAGTTGAATGGAATTATGACTGAAATTAATGAAGTTAAGACTATAAAATTTGATAGAAGAATACTTTATCTAGAAAAAAATGAAGTTAACGTACGTGGGTTTCTCAGATATTTGGACCTGGTTTATTTCAACTCCATTTTGATTTTCCTGTCTCTCTTTCTCATTATTTTGAGGTGTGGCTACTGTCACCTCAAATTCTATAAGCAAACACATTTTCTAATTTAATATCAACTCGGAATTTAAAATTTTCTCTATGAATATTGCGATTTCTTGAAAATTTGGTTTTTGGAAAATAACATTTTCTTTTGAAAGCAAAGCAGATGTTAGAACTAGAATAAACGTAACACATGTTTTATATGATTTTTATTTAATTCTTATATTCCTATGCCTTGCAAATAATGGTAGCTGTATTTAAAGAGACTAACCTTGATTCATCAATGAGATGTTTCTCTTTTTCGTTTGGATAAGTTGTACGAGGACTGCCTGTGCGATAGGGATCATCATGGAGGTTGTTGCGGTGTTGCTCATCCACATAGACAGGAAACATGTAATCAACATAAATCCTAACATCAACCTGCATTTTATTTGTAATATACGGTTAATGTTAAAAATGAACTAAAGGGTGAAAGATACACGTATTGTAAGTATTTAGAACGGAATTGGTGAATCATAAGAATAATTACTGTGTATCTTCACACTTTCATAACAACTTGTCTTTTACATACCATTACCTGCCATTAATATTGAGATAAATATGTATACTTAATCTATCATTTCACTATGAAGAGATTTTGAAAGAGATCGGCATCAATATTATTAATGCATTCCAAAAAACAAAGTATATGATTATATTTTTAAGAAAATAAAAATCATTTAATAGTGCACATTTATTTTTATATTGGACAATTAATGTATAAATATGCCGAATTCTGATCAAAGTTAAATTGTTAATTACCATTTGGGTTGTGATCCCATTAAGAGAAGAAGTTTGAGTGCAATTCGCCTGTGTACATTCCATTTTTCAATAGCAATAGCGACACTTAGGCCTCCAATTAAGACAAAGGTGATGTGCTATAAAGTACAAAATATATTTAATTTTTTCCCCCAAAAGGGTAATTTTATATTTCATTTGCAATAGGAATGAATGGAGCAAAAGGAAGTTGTTTACACCTGGGTTTGAAAAATAAACTATTTATAAGGTGTCAAAACATTGATGATATTCAACAGTCCTGTTACAGTTTGCATTAAGCATAACAACAGCTTGATACACTATAAATGAATCTATAAGGGACACAGACTCTAAGAGTTCAATTGGTGTCTCTCGGATTATGCTCAGGGATATTTAACATATGTTATATGTGCAATCAGATTCTAAGTTTTGGCATAGAACCAACAGTTCATAAAAAAGTTGAAGGAATGTAAAGTTATTTGACGATTCCTTTTCCGATCCCATGTGTTCTATTTCAAAATGTTCTGTCAAAAACTGTAAAACCTGTGATATTTTGATTACTAGCTCTTCGTTTACTAGCAATCTTACTGGACAGAGCATCTCTGCCAAAACATAAGAAAATCTGAATTTCAAGACTTCTTATGGTGTCTATGGAATAAAATGTACCCTCTGTGGGCTTATTTACGTATGTTGGTGAAACCAAGGGTTCACTTAAAAAAGAATATCGGAGCGTAGATTTCAAATTAACAACGGGGGCCAGCACCTTCTATACAAGTATTTTAATTTGATTGATCATTCTATTTTGTCAATGAAAGTTGGAATTCTAAAAAAAATTACCATTATACTAATAGCATATCAATGAGTACACCTTTCCGTAGACAACGAGAAGAATACTGGTTTAGAAAACTAGGCACCGTCTCTCCAAATGGTAGCAAATACAGTATCAATGTCGATAGTGTTGGAAATCTTTCAAGCCACCAGTGTAGTAGTGTGAATGCGATGGGGCTTTTTAACAGTACACAGAAACGTAAGCGTAGTCATGGACTTCGGTCTTATAATAAAGCTATTATACACGATGTCTGACTCTCCTTTGATTCACTACTACTTTATGTAAATAAACAGTTAGGCCTTCATCACATTTTCACCAATGTTAATTGTATCCCTTTGAAAGTTTTGATTAGTTTATTTGTAAAAGTCAAGGAAGGTCCTTATTTAGATTCCTCGACACCAGAACACAGGCTCGGATCTGTGATTATGCAAATCATAGGCTCTTTAACCGCCATGTTTTGCGGAAGAAAATACCCGCTAAAACAAAGCGTATGTCCCTTAAACTTCAATATACCAACAAAGGAATTGACGCTGTTAATATAAGTAATATTCCTAATCACATAAAGGTCCTGTCTTGTATTCCACCATATATTAAGTTGAAGTCCACAACTTGAATTTCTTACAAATATACATCGACTTGCTTCTCAACTTTTTAATTTGAAAAAAAATGCACAGTGCCTAGATATCAAGCATCTGAAACATAATCCTGCATCCGGTCGGCAGGGGATGCTCACTCCTCCATGGTACCTGATCCCACCTCTGATGTTTTTGGAGGTCCGTGTTTGCTCTGCTCCCGATTTGTATTGTTTAAATGGACTTTGAGTTTGAATACTGTTCGTTTTCTCTATATTTCATGAAGTAAAGATGGTAAAACAGATTTTAATAAAAGAGTGGTTTTCGTTAAAAGGAATATTATCACCTACAATACTACAGGCCATACAAGCGTGTTAGTTACAACAGAACATTATTTTGTACACTTAAAGCTTCAATCTTTTAAAATCAGTCTTCACTTAAAATTCGGAAGTCTCAAAAATTGAAGAATAAAATCTTTTTAAGATCTTCGTCCAATTCATAAGCTAATCGGGACGTTCAAGTACGTGTAGCAAAGCGTTTTTGTTTGTTTTTGTTTTGTTTTGTTTTAATAAACACGTTGGCAGAAGGACTTATGAATTCTTAAACTCAAAGAGAAACTTTGAACTTTTGAATGATCCTGAATTAAGGCTCGTCGCTTTGACAGGTCACGGATTCTGAGTGGATATTTCCCCCACTGACATCTATTTCGGTATTGTTTTAGTAATTAAACTCATTAAATTGTTTTACAATAGTTACTCGTCATCTAGAAGGTTTTCCAAATGACTTCAAAAATGGAAATTGAAATACATGTTCTGCTACATTTGCCGAGGACTTCATTATAAAAAAGCAATATCTCTTCATCATTTAAAGACAATAACTTGCAATTGAGAGCATATTGAATTGTTCGGTAAAACATACAATGTACAAGTGCAATGGAAGATATCTACATTCATCGTTTCATACTGCATCATCGATCAAAATTAAAAACTGTTGGTTCAACTAGCATACTTTGCTAGGAAGTTAGAAAACGATTCATTGACCATCGCATCACCAAGAAAGCGGCTTCAAATGAAAACTATTATCTGAAATTTTATTCATAAAAAGTATACAGGTATACATGTAAGTACTGAGTACGGATTACTTACATTGTAGTATAAACTGGTCATAGTTTTAACTTTGCTGACTCCCAGCAAAGGAAATACGAAGACAGGTAACAGAGCAGTAACCGCCAACGGCAGGGCCTCCGAGATCCAAAACACTGCCATCAATAGTAGGCCATAGGCACAATTCCCTTGCTTAAATGAGAATACTTGCATTTTTTCAGGAATCGCTTGGAAACATTAACTGGTGTAAATAATGGTTAGTTCAAAGGAAAGTCCATGCTTTTGGGCGAATAAACTTTTAAGTTGCTTTTTAATTACACTGTCCAATTATTTTTTAGATGCTACCTTTTAGGTAAGGTTTATTTAATCAGATGAAAAAAGAGGCTACGTGTTTAAATAACCATAGAGAGGAATTCCAAAAACTTCTTGAAACTGCTACAGTATAGATCAAGTCATTCCATTTACAAGAATCAGAATAATTTGATAATTGATTTCATAAATCCAAAAGCTTCAACTAACTCTTAATTTTTTCATGAACATTTGAAGTTTATGAAAACTCTTGAAACATTATAAAATGCTAGCAAAACTTAATCATATAGTTAGGACCTTAGAAAACCCACCTTAGACTGCAATGCGACTGGAATCGGAAGCAAAAGGATAGGCACAGATACCAACAAAATTTTCTTAATATTTCTCCTTATAAATAATATTAATTTCGCCATTATTATCATTTGATTTTCCTTGAGCCAACTTTCGGCTACCTTTGCTGACCTGTTGAAGATTCTGTCTCTCCATATAATTATTCATCCACACATTCAGACTTAATGTACATAGACATTTTCATATTTGATGAACAAGACATGTCACCTTGCATTATCTTATACGCGTGATGTTGCATGCGATAGGATTGACGGGAACAGAGAGAGTTTACACGGGTGAGAGTTGTAACTGGGAGGATAAAAGAGCTTGAAGCCCAAACACCTGGAACACATCGGGCCTTTCAGAGAAAAACACTTTTCTTTTTTGTGAAAGGCCCGAGGTTTTCCGGATATTGAAAGCCCCAAGAGGCCCCAGTGATGCGCATTTAAAAAGAAAAGGGAGATATCTGTGCGAAAATTAAGCAGAATTTTGGAAACCCGTCATCGAAAGGAGAACTCCTTTTGTGTAAATAAATTTTAATCACTAAAGAGTAAACATTTCTAACATATATAACAGAGAATTATACACGAAAAAAAATACATGTTGATAAGAAATGTCCTTAAATGACTTTTACAGCTACAGTTTAATGTTCCAAATACATGCAGTTAAAATTTGAAGCAAAAGAAAATCTCTGATATTATATGTATATATATTATTCTAAATGAAAGTGAAACACAAAAAAATGCATTGTATAAATGGATATCAATCAGATAACAAGAGGCCCAAGGGCCTTAACGGTCACCTGAGTATAATACAATAATTTAGAGGATCCATAGAGTATAAAATAAACTGATAGATGAAGCTTTGATGCCCAAAAGCAAGAGAAATAGGATGATCAGGATCAATAAAATAATTAGTCTAGTATTCAATAAGAACTCATAAATTAAGTTCTAACCTGTCCCTCTTTTATCACTATCACCCTGCAGACTTAACACACTATTTCTGCTTCTGTACTATTGAATACCCCATATTGTAATCTCTCACAATGGCCTCTCTTGGTCTTTGAAGAACATTTAATAAGATAAGTTTTATTTTCGTCTCATTTTTATTTATCTATTATTTACAAGTCTACCTGATCATTTAAACTATTGAAGTTCTTTTCACCAGAACCTCTCAATCTGGGACCACAAACAAGTTTTTTTTTTAAATTTTGTAAAAAGCACACTTGTTCATCATAACTATGCACTTTGTTTATCTGTTCAAAACTAAGGAGCAGACAGGATTATATATAAGGACTATTTAATAGATTAATGCATTTTCACTATATTATCAATAGAGCCCCACCATTACACCTGACCAAGGGGCTACGAAACTCACAATTCTGGAAGAAACACTCTTGCTCATCATCACTATACACTTAGCTTCTGTGCCTTATAACCAGAAATGAATTCTTCAAAGATTTTTTTTCACTATGTAATCAATAGAGCTCCCCCCCTTTTCCTCAGAACCCCCGACCCTAGGGTTTTGGAATTCACAATTTTGGAGGAGGCACTCTTGCTCTTCAAAATGATGTACTTTGTTAGTGTCTTTAATACACAGGAGCAGAGAAGAGGATTTTCAAAGAATTAATGCATTTTCACTAGGTAATCAATAGAGCACCACCCAAACGCCAGAACCCTGACACAGGGGCATGAAATTCAAAACTTTTGGAAGATGCTCCCTTGCTTATTAATGATAACGGTGCACTTAGTGTGCCTTCCAAATACACAGAAGCATAAAAATATCGAAATTGGTTCAGTGGTTCCAGAGAAGAAGCTGAAAATGTTCAAAAGTTAACGGACGACGCACGTCGACGGACGAAAACAGATTGCAATAGGACACCTGAGTCACTCAAGTAACCTAAAAAATAAAATCAAAAAATCCTTCTTACAAAAGAAAAAAAAATGCCACACCTTTCTTCAATAAGTTTTTGTGCCAAGTTATGTTTAATTTTCATTAAGATCTCATTTTCTCCTGAGAATCGACGACTAAAATATCATGCACAATTACACCTATGACAGCAACTACTGTGTACTCTCATGTCCAAATTGTTTATCACTTTCTTAACTCTCACCATAAGTAAATGTAGAATTAAAAAAAAAACATGATATAAATAAAATGTGTAACAATACCAACAGTTCATCATTTTTGCACCAATGTTGAACTAATCAGTGATAATATCAATAGTAAATACATTCTTATAATAGAACTTCCTTCAGTCTCAAAAAATCTTGTTTTTGATTAGTACCACGGTAGGTTGTCAATGTCGACATTTCCACCACACAATATAACGCCTATGTTCTTCATGTCTGGGTCCATGGCCGCCAATCTTTCTGACATCACTGCAGCTACTCCCGTTCCTGCAGCCGGCTCTATCACCAACTGTTAAAAGGAAAGTAACAAAGTAAAAAGAAAGTGAAGAAAAAATCATTTCATGTACAAAAATTATGTTAGACGAGAAAGCACATGGAAACATAATTTCCTTTAAGTCAAACTCGTTCTTCTTTTATAATTATGTGATTCACGATAATTTTGATATTGAAAAAGCTAGAAAATGAAGACATTTTTTATTAAGATATACATGTATTCACCTTCATTCTTTCAAATACAAATTTCATGGCCTTTATAATTTCTTTGTCAGTCTAAAATAAAATAAATTAAATTATATTTTAAAAATGGAATAAATGTTTATTTATAAACTTTACAATCTCAATATTTCCATTAGACTTTTTTTTCCCCAATAGATGCTGTTTTGAAATCTTAAAATCTATTGTATTCCTCAGAAAAATTAAATGTCTTATCATACATTGAAAGTCAATCTTTATCATCAAAAGAAACTTATTTTCTTTTTTTAAAAAAAGGAACTTCAACAAAATCAATAAGGCATAAAAATAAGGCATAAAAATTCGGAAAAACATGAACCATACCACTGAGAATACTTCTTTTTCTGCAAGATCTAGAATGATCGGCCATGTTAACTTTCCTAGTTGTTGTAATTTTAGTCCGTCTGCTATTGTATTCAGAAATTGAGGGGGATTAGGCCAGAGTCGTTTTCCTAGAAATTATAAAGTCATTTAATTCTGATAAATTCCAGTTTACGACTACATATTACTGGCAACAGTATAATAGGCTACAATCTTAACAGACTACAAGCAAATTTCTCCATAAACTAACATTTAAAAAAGTAATTTTTAAAGATATTAAACATGTACTCTTGATAAATAGTTACTTATAGTTAAAGTAAATTAACATGAAGTCAGATAGTGTTCAACTTCATGCAGATAGATTTTAATTAAATTACTGCTATTTACCTGTTCTGAGGCATTGTTCGCACATTTTTCCCTCGGGTTCAACCAAAAAAACTGTTTCAAAGAAAGATGCTAACATATGAATAATTATTCATTGTAAATTAAGGACATCATGATCTCCTATTGATAAATATAAGATAAATGGTTTATTCAAAGAGTTTAGAGTTACATGTAGTTTTAAACATATGATTATATGTTCAATGCTAGGAACATATCTTGCGCATACGTGTTCAAGTATTTACCTTTTTTTAAGCATGATGGTACTCTAAGTTTTCATATGAATGTCGGGGTTATAAGTTGCAATTTTCAACTTTGCAACTTTGCTTACCTTTGATATTTGGTTTAATCGCTTTAGCTGCTATTGCAATCCCTGAAGCCATTCCTCCACCACTAACAGGAACCAAAATAGCGTCTAATTCTGGCACTTGCTTCAAAAACTCTACAGCTATTGTCCCCTTCAAAAGTTTTGTAATATCGTTATATTATTTTCCTTTAGAATTAAATATTCTGCTTTAAAATGATAAGTTAAATTATAATAAATTGTGCTGACATTTTTCAGCTATAAAAATGAAAAATATAATTTAAAGCATAATACCAATTAAAATATTTACCCACCCAACACATAACATACCTTGCAATTGACAAAAATAATATACACGTATGCAGATAAGTACTTATTTAGATCTAGCGTTTATTTGGATTATTAAAAAGATTTTATAAAATAACTATCATTCGTGAAAAAAAGTTGTCTCGCTTATAAATACCTAACCATCGAAAATATTTTTACGAAGGAAATGAGAGAGTCGTTATAAACGTAAATGCAAGATTAGTACAAGGTCAAATGTTAATTTGTCACAAACTTCTTTTTTGCAATTAGTATAGTAATAATTGATCAAGAAGAGTCTGGGAAATTAAGGGTCCATACCCCCCCCCCCTTCGAAATTGTTATTAATTAACACACAAAAGTATCCTTCAAATAATTAAGGACCTTGGAAACTTTCAAATTAGGTCCGCGATCACGTATTATCTTTATCGAAGATCAAAATCATATCCGTATGTTGCACTCAAATGATTTAGAAGTTAATGATTTAGAAGTTAAAAACAGCCCATAATAGAAATGTTTTCAACATATCACTATCAAAAGCTTTTGCTTAACTTCAAGAGTAATGAATTAAACAGATTATTGAAAGAACTGCGAATGATAGTATTGTTCTGCCGCCTACCTCCAAGTCGAATTTCAGAGGTCAACATATTTGCATGATTTTTCATATATATATAGATATTAATGTGAATTTTCATAAAACATGATAACTTATCTTGGAAAACAAAGAGAGATAACTTTAAAATGGTAAAAATTGCGGTTTTCACTATAGAAATCAACGAAAGAAGGAAAACATTTTTAACCCCCCCCCCCCCAGCCGTGAAACAAAAATTCCTTTTAAAGTGATTTATGAATTGTTATTTCACAAATTCCTACCAAAAGCTTTTGTTGTTTCGGGGGGGGGGGACAACTGCAAAATTGGTCATTTTATTACCAATTTCAAATGAGATTACAAATGAAACAAGGTTTTTTTTATCAATCTTTTATATATGCTGTATTTAACATAAGATAAACATACGGAAAGATTTAAGGGTCATTTATCCATTTACATAGGTTTTTGAAAATCTAGCGATTTTTAAGCCAGATTTCAATGGATAAAATTTTCAAACCCCCTTTTGATAAGAGTCGTAAATAAGAGCAATTAAGTTTTTGACACTGGTTTTAAAATTATTAATCAATTAATAATAAACTCTTCTTTGCATTCAATCAAGTTCTAATGGCCAAACTGCCATTTATAATGAATTAAATGGGGGCAAAATGTAGGCGGGAATCGAGAGTTAGCGTGCGTGGTTCTTTCAACTTGAGTCTAAGCCTCCTGGCCGCCCATTGCCATTGTTGACTTTAAATTTAACAAAAGTATTTTAATATACATTTATACACGTACCTGTCCTGCAATGATGTCATAGTGATCAGAGGAAGGAATATATGGGAATTTTTTTTCATTGGAAATCTGGTCACATGTTTCTGTTCTGTTTGATAGGAAAAATAGAAAATATTAAACCAGAACATTGAAATAACTAAGAATTCTGCAATTTGACATATTACGTCATTACGTTATCCCCCCCCCCTTCGGAAGCCTTACTTTTCAACTAACTTTGCCCTGTTTGTCCTTTATGAATGTAGTGCGTTTTGTTTTAGCTCATTCTTTACTGAGAACACATATTATTAGAAATCCCTTTCTTAAAAACCTAATTTTGATATCTAAATTTGTTGCAGTTTCGAAGACGAGAAAGTTGTGTTTTTTATTTATATTTCACTTGCAGAACTTGGTGCAAAATAACACAATTTTAAAGTTTTACACTGAATAGCCACCAATGCTGAATTCCTACACGAAGAGGGTGTAAATTCTGGATTCGACGACTTACAGATGGTTGTGGGTTTGCAAAGAATTCTTAAAAAATAAGCTTCCCAAATGCTGCCTTAAAATTTGGTTTCAAGAGGGCATATAATTAAAAGAAATACTTTTTATGAAGAATCGAATAATTGATAAAAGTTAGTATTTCAATTAAATCTATGCACGAGTTACATGTATTCGTTGTCAAAGCAGATTTACATCTTTAATAAGACCCTTGCTTTTGAAATTAAGTTGTACTTGGTTGACAATGGTTTTCTTGGGATGAAAATTTTCACTGATACCCAAAACCACATGCAATATTCATATAAATAAATGCTAATTCGTGTCTCTAAGAATTTGATTTCTTAGATGTGAAAAAAAAACCTGTTAATTATAGAGAATATTTAATTCTTCAATAAAATAATTGATTGTTATTGAATCTTCTTTGCTACTGAAGGAAGCTTCCTTACCTGGCCGATGGAGAAGAACGACAAAATACAAGTTCAGCTCCATAGCCTTTAATTGCTTGGCACTTTGTTTTCGGCGTATCTTCTGTTACAACTACAATACATTCCACTTGGGCGATTTTGGAGGCCCAGGCCAAAGCTTCTCCATGGTTTCCACTGCTGTGAGTGACCTTCAGAAACAATTATTATGACTATTAAATTCATTTTAAATTATGTAGAGTCTACGACTGTCGTATGTTTTCAAAGATGAATGCAGTAAAAAACAAAATAAATTGTAACAGTGTGAATGATCGTATTCCAGGGAGAATGAGGTGAGAGTAGAGGAACATTAAGAATACATAATTTATATAATACTTAAGATACGATTATTGTTAAATATATAGGAGGGAAGAAAACTTACAACGCCCTCAACACACGGGTCCCTGCTTTTAAGTGACAGAACCTGAAATAATCATTGTATTAAAGTTTAAAGATTTATTAAAGAATTTTGTCGATATAAGTGTCCCTTAAAACTTACTTGGTGGCAGTAAACACAATATTTATTGTATTGTAATTTCTTTATTTACTTCGACCTGGTAAATTAAATATATACGATCAACATGTTTCTCATTAGGTAAACGATACAAATAAAATGAGAAGAAAACCTCCACAATCTTAACACAGTGATGATATTACCGCATTTAATGCTCCTCTTGCTTTGAATGCTCCTGTTTTCTGCAAATTCTCAGCTTTGAAAAACACTTTTCTTCCCACAAGATGGTCTAAAGTTAAATTGGTAAAGACGGGGGTAGTATGAACATAGGGGGAAATAGTTTCATAGGTTTTGATGATATCGTGAATGGTGACTTCTTTCGTCATCTTACTTTTTGTGTCTGTTGAATGAGAAAAATGTATTAAATATAATTACATGTCATTGCTAATCTGCTTAATTGCCTCGGTATTACGACTTACTGTCTAAAAACGGTGAACTTAAAGATCAATCTCCACGAGCAAGAGACGGGCAGCAATTACTATCCATAGCTTATAGATTCTCCTATAGATATTGCTCATATTTATAACAACAATCATTTGTCAAGCACTAAATTGTTCTAGATTTTTCTTTTTGGCTGATCATGACAAGGAGCACACGGCGGGTGTTACCAGTCGACAGGGGATGCTTACTCCTCCAAGGCACCTGATCCAACCTCTGATGTTTTTAGAGGTCCGTGTTTGCTCTGCGCCCAATTTGTATATCGTACCAATTGACTTTTGAGCTTGATTACTGTTCGTTATCTCCATATTTCACTGATACGATGAAAAAAATCTCATAATTCAAGAGCAGCATTACACTCATAATAAGAAATAAATACTCAGCGAATAACTGCTTTTAACGACACACGGATTTGGGACCAAAAAACTTTCATAACGAGCATTTAATCTTTTTTGATTGCAGGAAAGATCCATAACTTAACTACAATTTTACGCATTTACATTAAATAAAAGTTTATATTTAAGAGGTGCAATGTGGGTGTCATCAAAATTTCTTAAATCATCTTACGATAATGAGGACGCCTACGTTTGTACTTTTCAGTAGACCTACTACGATTATAGCAAAGATCAAAGAAATGCCCCCGCAATTTTTCTAGCACTGATGTTTTTATGTAAAATAAAGATTTATTACTAGCATAAATTATCTTTATAATTTGTGACTTGATATGAAAATCGCTGTATTTCTACGGAAGCCCATTTAGAACATATCATAAAAGAATTGTTCATTTCGTTATAACAAATTTTTGAAGTCGTTATTACGAATTTAATATGATATAATTTGTTGATTTTTTTTACTTTGTTTACATCGAATTACATCGAAATAAACGAATTTATGAATTCATTTTTTCAAATTGTTCCATACGTTTCTACTAAATTTATTAAATTTGCTGTCTAACATATATATCTATCCAAATTGTGATTACAAACTACAAAACTGTGAGACATTAAATTTAAAATATTAAATAACGACATGTCAAATTGAGAAAAAACATTTATCTATTAATTTTGTTATTACAGATAAAAACTTATGAGAACAAATTAACCATATTCAAAATAACAAAATGTTCATTAGTTATAAAAAAAAAAATCGATATAACGTTTTTTTTTAACTCGTAATAACGAATTGAGTTATAACACAATACAGTCATTTTATTTGTTATAACAAATTTATTGCATTTTTTATTACAAATTATAACGAATTTAATTTGAATTTACAAATTTCAGAATTCATAAATTCACATTCTTCAGTTATATGGATTTAAAAAGCTGGTTATAACAAATGTCTACTAAATATCTACAAGATCTGTGATAAAAAGGTAGCAGATTCCATGAAAGAATTAAACAATTAATTTAAAATTTCAGTTTTATTCATCGGTTATAACAGAGTGTAATTTGTTATAACGAAAAATTGTTTTCAAGAATTCAACAATTTGTTATTTCAATTATATTTAATATGCAATTGTTTAAACAAGATTCTGTTATCTGTTATCACAATTGGAAAGGTTTAATTTATTGACGAATGAATGTATTACGGAAGCCCATTCTGACCCTTTCAAAAATGCTTTTGAATTCGTAATGTCGAATTCCAAAATATCTTTCATAGGTTCTAAATGGGCTTCCGTAAGAAAGAAATATATGTGACAACAGATGAGCAATTTGAAAGAATAAATTCTTAAATTCGTTAACTCAAATTTAACTCGATACAACAACTTTTAAAATTCGTTAAAACTAACTCAACAAATTTGTTAAATCAGATTAAATTCGTTAAACGAATTCAACAAATAAAATTGATTATAACGAACTTAATTCGTTTAAACGAATTCGAAAATTCATTTTATCAAATTCAAAAGATAATATATGATAGGTTTTTAACGAGTTCTGTATTCCATCAATTCAACATTCAACAAGCAAGGGAAATAACCAGAATAGTCCACATTCTAAATTCTCTCTACTTTTTAGATATTCTGTTTCTATCTACATTCTGGTTCTCTCTTTACTTTTTAGATATTCTTTTTCTCACTACTTTCTAGATATTCTGTTTCGTAGTTTCACAAAATAGAATAATTGAATTTATTTATTTTGAAAGTCTTGTTTTAAATGCTTTGTATAGTCATGTACTCTTTATTCTCTTCTGAAAGTAAAAGCATTTAAATAATCTCTTATTTTAAAGATTAACATTTATATGTAATAGCATGCACTCTATTTAAGTAAAGAAGAATAAAGGCTCTGTCTGCAGAGCTCGATTATTATTAGAAGGGTCTATCCCAGTCTCTTCCGAGAACTGAAGTCCTATGTCACTCACTCCTATGTCAACATCTGGGAAAAAGTACAAAGTCTAAAAATATTGAATATAACCAGCGTAAAAGATTAGTTGTTTGAAATGGAGAAATAGTTTAAAATGTGTTTGACATTTCCTCGTTAAATAAATCAGAATTTAAGATCACTTCAAAAACTACAAACATTAACTTTTCTAAGCACTGATAATTGTTGTCAACTTTTTGCAATTAATTATAATAATCTTATCATTTCTTCTTTTCAACATTTAGATATATCGACGCACAGCATACATTAATTTAATTTTGCACTTTAATTCTATCAATGATATACGTTACTTTCTTGAATTCAAACGAAACAATACCAGATTTGATTTCAGTACGATTACTGGTATTTTCACCCAATAATGAAACTTGTAAGTGTCCATTTAAATAAAAATCTTGTGCTATGCAGCATGGTGAACCACAATCGCAAATCCTGTAACTGTCTCAATGTCTCTCAAAATATGCTTTCAACAACGTTTATTGTATTCAGTATTTTAATAAACAAGGTTGTAGATAATATTTTTCATAAAATTACGATTTTTGAAAGATCATGCGATAAGTCCTTTAAACAAAGACATTTTGCTATTCAACATGTTGTACTACAAACCCTTATTATTGCATGTATGCTTCATGATACAATATATTCTGAATATACTACCACTTTTTTGTAAACTTAATTGATTCTCAAAACAAAAACAAACAAATTACATGGAAGGAAGCCTTAAAATGTCCATTTTGGGATAATAATCATATACATGTATATATTTTAAAAACAAGAGGCCCAGGGGCCACATCGCTCACCTGAGCAATATGGCTAGGAAAAAGCAGAAATCAGTTCAGTCTTGAAAGGTTGAAAAGTTTGAATAAAAAAGTGGTTCGGGGGGGGGGGGGGGGTGGGGTGTCATGAATTGAACAATTTGAATCTACACTATCTGAGGATGCTACAATATAAATATGACCAATCATGGCTTTGCTGTTCTTGAGAAGAAGATTTCTAAAGATTATTCCTATATATTCCTATGTAAAACTTTGATCGCCCATTGTGGCCCCACCCGACCCCCGGGGGTCATGATTTGAACAAACTTGAATCTACACTATCTGAGGATGCTTCCATGTAAATATGACCAATCATGGCTTTGCTGTTCTTGAGAAGAAGATTTTTAAAGATTATTCCTTTATATTCCTATGTAAAATTTGATCGCCCATTGTGGCCCCACCCGACCCCCGGGGGTCATGATTTGAACAAACTTGAATCTACACTATCTGAGGATGCTACCATATAAATATGACCAATCATGGCTTTGCTGTTCTTGAGAAGAAGATTTTTAAAGATTTTTCCTATATATTCCTATGTAAAACTTTGATCGCCCATTGTAGCCCCACCCGACCCCCAGGGGTCATGATTTGAACAAACTTGAATCTACACTACCTGAGGATGCTTCCACATAAGTTTCATATTTTCAAGCACAGTGGTTCTTGAGAAGAAGATTTTTTAATTTATTGATGCCATTTATAATTTTTTGATGCCATTAATTTTTCACGAATTCTTAATTATCTCCCCTTGGAAGAAGCGTGGCCCTTCATTTGAACAAAATTGAATCCCCTTTACCCAAGGATACTTTGTGGCAAGTTTGGTTGAAATTGGCCCAGTGGTTCTTGAGAAGAAGATGAAAATGTGAAAAGTTTACAACAACGACGACGACAACGACTACAACGACGACAGACAACGGACAAATTTTGATCAGAAAAGCTCACTTGAGCCTTTGGCTCAGATGAGCTAAAAAACTTATCTCTGGGCTATGGTCCTTGATCAGTTCTTTTTCTCGCATAATGTACAGTTTTCTGCCTTTGTTTCATCAATAATATGTCAATAGTCTTATTCAAATCCTTTGACCCAAATGTGTTACAGAAACCTTCTAAAACTGTTAGTATATAGATAAAATAGTACAGTGGTGTGAAATTTTTCTTACCCTCTTTCATCAGGAGACCTATTTAGTTATGTTTAAAAAATTTAAGGCTTGCGATTGCAAAAGAAAGATATTGAAAAATAAAAAAAAATTACAGTGTTTGCGTACAATTTAAATGTCAGCTTGAATAGGGTAAGGCATCCATGAATATCAGAGATATTGAAGTACGTCAGTGACTTCTTTAAAGCTGAAAAAAAATACAACGTAAGTTGACATGTTTTTTAAAATAAAGGTTTGAGATGTTGTTTTCTTTTAACTGGCAGGACGATTTGAATAAATCGAGATGTAAAATCACTGTGTGATTTTTATGTGCCTATCTATTCTTTATCTATTTAGATAACAAGCGGGGCTGTTTTATTTTGTTTTTGTTTTTTATGTTTTTGTTTGTTTGTTTGTTTGTTTGGTTGGTTGTTTGTTTTTGAAAGAATTAAAATATTTTATGAAACTTATAAATCGGGTTCAGGCATAGGCATATCAGGTAATTTTAATGAAAGAGTGACATATAATACAGGAAAAGGGTTTAAATCTTTATTAGTAATTAACTTATCTATCTATTATCCTAAATCTAAGGTAAATCACGGCACGTGGTAAGTATGGTAAAGCGTAAAATATTGGGTTTTGTTAATACACACTTTACTCTATATTAAAAATAAAGTTAAAAGAACATTGAAATAAGAAGATAAAAGGAATCCATATTTTATTTT